ATTGCCATTGTTCTATCAAAGTTTGTGACTAGGTTAGAATGTGTGACCGGTCACGTGGTCACACATTTTAACATTATCCTGCCCAGTTTTTTGCCGGCGGAATGTGTGACCGGCAATAGGTCAAGCATTCCAAAGCTTTTGTCAGCTGCTCCAGGGCAGAGCAGATCGGCAGCGCAAATCGTATGTGCAGGAGAACCGATCTGCCCTGGAGCAGCTGATCGGTCCTGAAATGTCACCTCTATCCAACTCTGTGACTGCAATCTCACATTCCACAAAGTCGGATAGAAGTGACATTTCAGGACCGATCAGCTTTTACTAGGGCAGATCCGTTCTCCTGCACATACGATCCGCGATGCCGATGTGCCCTGGAACAGCTGACAAAGCATTAGAATGCTTGACCTACTGCCGGTCACACATTCCAACCATGTGACCGGTCACACACTCTAACTTAGTCACAGTCTTTGATAGAACAGCCCTCCTTTCCTGCCAACGGTGCTTTCTGCTTCAATACAATATGAATGAGTGGCACTGTGGTGACACCCCTTAGGGGCAGGGCCATGACCCCAATTTATTTATAGTATATCCTGAGTATGCCACAGAACAAGTGGTGAGGGTAAATCTCCCAATGAGGAATGCGAGTGCCTTTTTGCCATTGCATTTGGGTATTTTCAGCCAAGAATGTTATTTTTAGCTCTAATTGGCCCTCATTGCTTAAAGTAGTGGTTCTGGTGACACATTAAGATTGGTATAACTTTAGCTTAAAGTGTTATTTAATCACCACCTCAAGCAACTCCTCTCCCTTCTCTCCTCATTAGACACACATCTCATTGAAACTTCAGCCTAAAGCTAGTAGAAGTTTATAGCTGATTTCCGGGAATTAAAAAACACTATTGTGACGGACTGAACCGTCACTGGTGCTGTTGGAGGAGCCTGGGGTAGGGTTGCCACCTGTCCAGGATTCACCCGGACAGTTCGGGTTTTGAATGCTGTGTCCGGGTTTCATGGCAGCAGAAACCCGGACACAAGATGTCAGGCAGACAGGGGCAACCAAAATTAAGATAGCGGCTACTGACCCCCCCACTGAAAATAGTCTCAACTGTGATATTTACATATGAATGGCTGGCACTATTTACATATGAATAAGCCGCAACTCGTTCTCCCAAAAATGTCCGTGTGTCGCTAGAGTGTTCGGGTTTCGCTTGAAGAAAAGGTGGCAACCCTAGCCTGGGGGCTAGCCTCCTTCCAACTGACTATGGACCCAGAACTATGGAGACCCCCCTCGGACTTCTTGGGGTTACAATGAACCATTCTACCAGGTTTATGTGTGGAGGGATGTACTGTACATGTTCCCTGGCATCACATTTGGATGACCCTGTGTATATTATAGGTACAGGCTGTGACTCCAGGAGCACTGAAGGGGGATAATTCTGGACAATCAACTGTTACAGTTTATTGGTCCCTTTGTTGTATTGTGTTGATGATGGGATTAGGATAGCAGATTCTAGGAGTAGCTGACTCCGGGTATAGATGAGTAAATCACACTATGATACACTCAGGAGATCATCCCATCACATGTGTCTCCTCTCTCCCTATTCATTCATTAAGGCATCGGGGAGGGGGAGGGGATGTTTGCATGCTGTTCATGTTTGATTGCGTTATGTGTTTAGACTTCTTGGACTGTATATATACTGAGCTAGTCTTCAATAAAGCAGATCCCTGTTGGAACTTACATACAGCCTGCCTGGTGTTTGTTCTGAGCTGGATTGGAACGGCACATAGCTGTAGTTCAAATCCCGGATTATCGGACGATCGAAGAATCAGATGTTGCGGTCTGACATCTGATCCATTAGTAGCAGAGGAGTGCCGGGAGGGTGGAACCGAGCGAGCAGGGGCTCGTTACAACTATCCTGGAAGTGGTAGGGGTCTTGGTGAAGAATAATGAGCCGTAATACCATTTTCCTCACTCCAGCAGACTTCCTCCACCCTGCACCATCTGTCCCCCTGAAGCCTCTCCTCTAGGGTGCATTTTCACTGGTGGTGGTCACGTGTTGACATCATCAAGCAAAATGCAAGTCACTTTAAATAGGGAGCTGTAGTCACATTCCATGGCATATGACCACTAAGGGAAGTGTTTAGATATTTCTGCGGGAGATACAATAATTAAAATGAGGAGCCTTTAGTTATTGAAATTGTAAAAAATGGAATGTGGCATCAAAAGTTACTTCTGGGTAAAATCTGTGAAACAGCTTGTTGTGATCTTACTTGAAATACACTTCCTTCTGAGTTTCCCTTTTTGACATTTATATACATTTTATTGATATTTATATAGAACTCTAATATATACAGAAGTCTGATTTATATATATATATATACACACAGAAGTCTGATTTTACACGGTATAATAACACCACCTATATACTGTATATAACACGGTATAATAACGCCACCAATATACTGTGTCATGGTCCTTGGAATACTGAACCATCTCTCCTTGACTATATTACACAGTGGTGGGTCCTCCGCCCTGTCTTAGGGTTGAATCACTCTGTGTTTGTTTCACAGTTCACAGTTTCTCTTAAGGATAATCCCCTCCAAACGGCTCCGTGGTCTGGAAGGAAGGCATTGTTCTGTGTTTATGTAATTATCTCCTGGGACTTCTCTGTCACTTTCAGGTTCAGTCACTCATTTGGTGAAGAAGCTGGTGAAGCTCGATCCTTGTCCCATCAGCTACAGTGAGGTCCATAGGTGACATTAGAGTTCTAATAGACCCCTGATGTCTCCATAAGGATTTTAACGCTCAAAATAAAAAAATTGCACGAAGTGGGTAAAAGTCTTGTGTGATTTTAGTGAGCTCATCTTATTGTTGCAGTGTTTATCTTCAATGATATTCATGTTTAGCTTTTGAATGGAGTAGGGGAGGGTTTAAAAAAAACACTGTTCAGTTATGTTTTGCTGTTTGTACCCCATTGGGGAGATTTTCCTTAACTTCCTTTTGAAAAGGAAGTAAGAGGAAATTTCCCTCTTTGACAGAGGTGACCCCTTTGGAAGATATACCATCACCTCTTGTTCTGTTGGATCACAAAAATTTTAGAGTTGTCATCACATCGGGGCTGATTTATAACTTGTCCGCCCAGCGTGTAGCAGTGGATGGAGCTGAGCAGCATAGGCATTTTCACACATAGCTCATTTTATGATACAGTTTAGGGCTGAAATAACCATTAAGCAAATTAAGCATGTACATAGGGCACCAAAGGAAGGGGGCATCCCCGAGCTATTGTGGCTTTGCAAGAGGAGTACACTTTAAGGCCTCATTCTGCTGTCTCAGGGTGTCCCTGTATTATTTAGCACTAATTTATAAAAGTACTGACACAGGGGCTCATACATTAACAGCAGGCATTCTTGGAGGTTACTTCATTCCTCCCTATGGTGCCCACAAATGGTTGTCCATTGCAGCTGTCATATGGCGTAGAGCACGTCAGTTGAGGCCACATGGGTTGTATCTTTTTTAGTAATCCATACAGTTTCCTCATTTGATGTCTACCCTCCTTACGGTTATTCTCTATCTCCTGCAGTCTGAACACTTTAAGACCACATCCAAGAAGGTTTCCCGGAAATGCTGGTGCAGGAATGAAAAGATCATCGCCATCATCTGTGTGATTGTGGGAATCATTATCCTCCTCATCATCCTCCTCGCCACTGGAGTCATCCCCACATAGACTGGTTTTTGAAAGGGTTAATCGAGACTCCTTAACCGGACTCCACAGTAGTGATGAGCCGAACAGCACCGTGTTCGATTCTAACTCGAACTTAGAACTCAATTTGGGTAGAACTCAGAAAATTGAATGTCCCCATTTTGAAGCCTTATATGCAATTTATTGGCCATAAAAAGTGTATGGGGATCCGGGTACTGCCCTGGGGGACATGTATGGGGATCCGGGTACTGCCCTGGGGGACATGTATGGGGATCCGGGTACTGCCCTGGGGGACATGTAT